GGAATAACTTATTCAGTAAAAATAACTATATATTTTATATGTTAAAGAGTGACAAAGCAAATTTATGTTGCAGAGGTGAACGGCATAGTCGGGAAGGGTCGCCCTAGGCCAGTGGTCGGCAAACTTATTAGCCAAAGAGCCAAATATGAACATTACAACAATTTAAAAAAAATGGGAGCCAAATCTGCTTGTTTAGTAAACTTTTATTACACTAAATAAGTAGTAAACTAAATAAAACTAAATTTCATTTTTAATAAATATTTATTAATGCGAACAATGTGCTTGCATCTCCTTGGAAAGTTTGAGTAAGTCAGGTCAGATTGAAAACAACATACAATGTTTTTAATTTTAGGCATGATTCCAGGTTCTCACCAATAAGACGACTTCTCAGTTTATTCTTGATAATGTTCATGCTTGAAAAATGTTATTCGCATATATATGTAGAACCGAAAAGGGAAAGAACAGCAAACACGAGCCTTTTCAGTTGATCGTAAAAGTCAGGAATACTATTCCAAGTGTTGAAAATGATCATGTCATCCTTCTTCAGGTCATTCATAGCAGACCACTTGTGTTGTGAACTAAGATCACATTTTTTCTTCTCCAATATTTCCAATTCAACTCAAAGACGTTCGAATTTAGATCGCCATATCTCCTTGTTTTTTAAACCCAGCAATTGTATTGTATTGTATTGAATTTCAATTTTTCAAAAAAAAAAGCTACCATTGTCAATTTCAAAAGGAGAAAATTTCAACTCTGTTATCGTAGCATTAAGAGGATTTTCGACAAATGCTAAAGTTGCTCTGCTGTTTTCAAATTCCTGAAACCTCATATTTAAAATAATTGTTTTAAAATGGTGTTTATCAATAGAGGAATTATTTTTTTGGCGATGCTTCAGCAGGCTCGGAAAGTGCAACAATGTTAACCTTACAAAATCCTGAGCAAAAATGGATGATTTGTTTTCGAATGTTATTACTTCTAACATCGACGATTCTTTATGATTAAGCTGACGTCCATGGAGAAATTTAGTTTACGATTAAGCTGATTTAGATGAGACGAGATAGTAGAGTGAGAGTTCTGGATAGTAAATGCCCTTCTCAAGGAAAAATGCTTTAATTTCCGGAAAAAGGGACGCGAAACGTTTTAAAACGTTCCCTCTTGATAACCAACGTACCTTGTCATGAAGCAGAAGATCAGCGTATTCACTCTCCATTACAAATAAAAAGTTCTTTGAATAGGCGATGATTAAGAACTTTAGCTATAAATTCCATAACTTTACAAATTTCATCCGGAAATGTTTGCGCACAAAGCGCTTCTTGGTGAATGATACAATGGTAAACAAGTATCGCATAATTAATTTTTTCTTTCGAAATTGCAACAAACCCTTTTCTTACGCCGGTCATACTTTTGGCGCCATCTGTTGAAACACAATTTTATAGAAGGGAATATGATGTTTATCCATACTCTTAATTACAGTATTTGCGATATCTTTTCCACACGTCTGGCCTTTGAGTGACAATAATCTTAAAAGTTCTTCTTTAGGGCCTGAATGAGATATAAATTTTACAAAATGTGAAACTTGCGCTGCATCATTTATGTCACAAAGCTCGTCAACTGCTATTAATAAAGCTAAAACCAATGTCAGATCTTCGATAAGCTGGGTGGCGAATTTTAATTGTCTATTATTAATGGTTTTGGCAGACAATGTTAACTCTTTAATTCTTTTCAGAATATTTACTCTGTTCTTAAAATCACGAAATCACTCTTCGGATGCATTTATAAAACAATTTTTTATGTATTCGCCGCCTGTGTACGGTTTCTCTCTCTTAGCAATCTCTTGGCTAAAAACAAAACTTGTCATATTAATATTGCTGGAAGATTGCATCCAGTTATTAAACACAAGTTAACGATTCTTGACTCTTCTGAAGTTTCTCAACTGCTTTCTTCCTTGCATCACCGGTAGGATATTTGTTGCTAAATTACGCGTGCTTTCTTGTAGTGTCTCTCTAAATCTGACTTCTTGTTATTCACGAATTTCTGCTTACAAATAAGACATGTCGGAAATTCATTCAAGTTTTGAATAAACGCAAAATTCTCGGTCCACTCAACTTTAAATTCGCGGTTTTCATCCTCCGTTTTTCTTTGCTTTTTTTGGTAGCCATGTTAATTTCTTACCAAGTTTTTTTTTTAATGAAAATATTATTGCGCCTTCCGTGCATATATGTGCCAGAGCCGCTCTTAAGGAGCCAAGGAGCCACATGCGGCTCTGGAGCCGCACTTTGCCGACCACTGCCCTAGGCGAAAGTTTATCGACCAAATTGGCGATATATTAAAAATGGGCCATATCAAGAGTACCTTTAACCGACGAGCGTGTATGCGTAGGTATATCGATGTGCAGGAAGCGAGAGAGGTGTGTCAGGATCGTGCCAAATGGAAGTCCATAATCTCTGCCTACCCCTCTGGGTGACAGGCGTGAGTGTTTATATTATATTATATTATATTATTTTATATAACTGTGTTTGTTATTTACTTTATATCAATGGTTTCTGGTGCTGTTCACCGATTACTCCCGGTTTCGGTTTCATCCGGATTCACGAAGAACACGCGTTTGAAGAACTCCAGAGAGAGTTAGCCATCTACAACACGCTCAGGAGGTCCACTCATACCAAGGCGGGACAATCATGGTGTGGGCAGGAATTCGTCTTGGCAGACGAACCCAGCATGACTGCACAAAAATACTACGAGGAGGTAACAGAGCATCTTATTGTCCCACACAGATGCACGATAATGCTCCTTCCTATACGGCGCGGCTGGTGTCGGCCGCTCTTCGAAATCACGATATTCAAATTTCGGATTGGCCTGCACAGTCGTCTGACTTTAATCCTATCGAGCATGTCTGGGGCATGTTACAACGAAAAGTTTTAAGAGATTTCCCGCCAAATTTGACGACGGAACAACAACTTTACAAACACTTGCAAAGAACATGGGACCTCTTACCGCAGCAAGACATTGACAATTTAATTTTAAGTATGAACAATCGATGTTGAAGCAACACTGGTTATAAATAATTAGATTTTATAATATTTTTTCAATTTTAATTAAAATAAATAGTTTTATAAGAAGAAATGAATTTTTTATCATACTAATTTTCTACGGCGATTAAAAAGATTAACATTTTCATTTAAAACAAAAATGTGGCCGTTGAAATAAACGTAAAAGTATATATATTTACTTAAAAAGTTTAACTCCTTTTATTTCAGCACTAACATAAGACGGATTTAAAGAAAAAAGTCCATTACTGTGTATATAACAATATTAGGCAAATTATCACTTTGTCCTTAGAAGAAGCTTTCTTCCATTATAATAAAATAAAAACTACACACTCATAAATAAAAAAGAAACACAACTGTATTACTGTACGTAAATAAACCCGAACGAAGCATGAGCCTTGGCGCGATTCTTGCGAACTAATTACTTGAATGATCCGTGGTGCGGTGCGTAGTGATTATATTCTCTTTGGTATAATATATTATAATATTTTGATACGGATTTTTTAAATTGTAATTGTGAAAAACTTGAGCGAGTACATAACACAAAATACCTTGGAATAATTTTTGACTAACATCTTTCGTGGATTAATCAAATAGAATAGGTAAACGTCAGAATTCGTAAGCTTATATGGATATTTAAAAAACTGCGTTACATTACGACTAAATTGGTAATTCAATTTTACAAATCTTTAGCTCAGTCTGTTCTAGGATTTTGCATTACGGAAATGGGGAGGAGCGGCAAAAACTAACTTATTGAACATAGAAAGAGGACAACGATATCTTCTTAAAGTTATGTATTTTAAGCCTATTAGATTTAATACCGAACAACTGTATAATATTAGTGATGTTCTTACGGTTAGACAACTATAAAATTAAATTAAATTACAATCAATTTTAAAAACACATACTAACTCGCCATATGATCCAAAAAAAAAAAAAACATCTAAATGGGGGAATCATAACGTCATTAAACAAATTTATGTAATATCTAAATTTGCTGAGAGATAGTACTGTGCCCAATCAAGATATATGTACAATTATTTAAATAAAACATTAAACTTTCACTGACTTAATTATCGGCGAATGTGAAAAAATAATTACCGATCATCTTAAAAAATTATCTTATCACACCACAGAAAATATTCTACGTTACGGACTTAAATAATATATTTGTTTATGAGAATAGAATAGAATAAAATAAAATTACATAATAATAATAATAATAGATATGCTAACACTTTTAAGCACCTACAATCACACATACACACACACACACACACACAAACACACACCTACTCTAAATCATAGGTAATCTTGCTCGGTTTATTCCAATATTTAATATTATTAGGAAGAGCGGTGCCTCCTGACACAGGTATTCTTTTATACTTACTAGGAGGCTCCAATTACTTTATTATTTAGTATGCCTTGAGTAAGAAATAAATGGATTTATTATTATTATTATTTTTTTAATTTAATTTGGTGCGGTGATCTCGGATAGATCAAATGACGTCACAGGCGAATAAGAAACCACAGACGTTCCGTACTAAAATACGTAAACTTCAATAAGTCATTTATTGATGGATTTTTCTACATCCACATCCTATTTGCTGGATGAATGTGCAACAGTTTGATCTTACAGGTCAAAGATGACCCATCGACAATCAAAATACTGTGAATAATTTTCGAACAAAATAAACGTTGGATTTGACTGTATGGGCGTAGATGCATTTGCCTTTAGGTAATACTAAAACAAATTCAAACATATAGTATTGTCATTTTTGACATATGGTTGATAAGGTTTGTTGTTGAATTGTTGATTTTTCGTTTGTCTAAGCTTAAAGGTATTAATATTTAATAATTCCCAATAATAAAACCTTATATCAATAAAACAGTACATAATTAACGATGATTATGAATTGAAAACAGTTCTCTATCAAGAGTTATATAAATAGTATGGACGAAGAAATGGGAGGATTTACTCATGATGATTTAATCATACCGCCTGTGAAATATGAGTGTAAGTTTCTTACTGTTCTATGAATAATATTTATAGTAGAGTGATATGTTTATGTATCTTTGAAGAATTTAATGAAGACAAGTTATTGTACAGTTTCAACACTTAAATTATTTTAGTAATCATAATTTGATTTTCAGATTTGGATCATACTGCAGATGTACAGTGAGTAATAAATCTTTCTACTTTATTTATCTAGTGTTTTAATAAATTTGATAGAACTGTTTTATTAAATAGAAGGAAAGTAGGTTTAGTTTTTCCTATTTTTTTTTATAGGATAAGTGTGAAAAAGAAGCACACAGTCCACCTGATGGTAAGTGGTTGCTGCGGCCCGTAGACATCTACATCTATCCTCGTTTGCGAATCAAAATGCAGATGCGTTGTCACCCGTGAGGACTAAGATGGAATGCCTCATTCCCAGTAAAAAGGGCCTCCGGCTACCTGCACTCACCAAGCGAAATGCAGAGGTAAACCTCTACTTCACGCTGGTATTCTGTGAGGTCGTGGTACCATCCCGGTTTGACCCGGCCCATCCGTGCGACAGCAAAAGCTGCCGCGTGGCTCTACACTAAACTTGCACACCTATAAGGTGTTCTTAGAATCCAATTACAAGATTTGTGGTTGAGGTGGGACGTATTTCTAGGGCTCAGAAAAGATTAGACAACAGGCGTGGAGGATTCAGTCTTTAAATAAACATTATAACTTTTAGATTTTGCAAAAGGTACTACTTTAGGAGGCTGGTCTGCTTGGGTTAGCAACACACCTAAACTTAGTGTTATTTTATCTAAGGATATGCTTCTTTTTAAAATTTTAAATACTATTTTTATTGTATAGCCAAGTGGAATATCTTCTCTTAAGAAAAAAACCCCTTAGAGTATAGTTATTTCCTTAAATAAAAACTTTTAGAAAAATTTACTTCGCAAATATCCACGTTATAAAATAAAATTATGTGTCTTACCTAGTATGAAGAGCACCTCCCGCCCTCCCTCAATTGCGTGCATTATCCCCGTCACCGCTAAGCGGTTAGCCACTGTAGAGTCTATATCACCTGAGGATGCCTTGTGTAGAGGCGAAACACATGTCGTATTATCGTCAGTGGTGTGTCTTGCCTAGTGTGTGGTGGTGTTGGGAGTAGCGTTGCTGGGATTAGTGGTGACAAGGATAGTGCACGCAATTGAGGGAGGGCGGGAGGTGCTCTTCATACTAGGTAAGACACGTCATTTTATTTTATAATGCGGATATTTGCGAAGTAAATTTTTCTAAAAGCTTTTATATAATGGATTTTCGCAAAGTAACACCTGATTCTATTAATTATTTCATTAACATAAAATTTATTTTTTATAAAATGTAACATTTTTGAAAATTAAAGTAAATACATATCCTTTATATATAAAAATTATGTGTCACGTTGTTTGTCCGCAATGGACTCCTAAACTACTGAACTGATTTCAATGAAATTTTGCACACTGTGTGCATTTTGGTCCAACTTGCGAGATAGGATAGTTTTTATCCAGCTATATGACCCTGAAAATTTTTATTGCGAATTTAAGAATTTTTATAGGAAGGGTCGTCAGAAAGGGCAGAATAACGTCTGCCTGGCGAGCTAGTATTACATAATTTATTAAAAGATGGACATTAATCTTAATCCTATATTCACAAATCAAAACCTTAAAACCCTATGCTTAACATGTGTTGCCTTTAGTAGGGCTTGTCAAGTTACCAAAAATTTAATAATATACCCTTTATATTTTTAGGAATTAGCATAAAAGTTTTGTAAAACTCAAATAGTGATTCAAATCTTATTCCTCACTAACACACAAACGAGGATAGGTGTAGATGTCTATGGGCCACAGCAACCACTTACTATCAGGTGGACTAGATATAAAACTAATACTTAAATTTTGAATGCGCTCAAGCTCATTAAGTTGCTCATCAGTATTCTCAAAATAACAAATTTATTTTATTTTAAAAAAGCTAATATCATCATAGTCAAGAATAGGCAGCAGATGAGACTGAGTAAGCGTAACTTTAGTCACTGTGGGAAGAAAATTACATAATCCATATAAGGAGATTAACATGACAAAAAATTTTCTTCATTACCCTAATAAATACAGAAGTTGAGATTTTACTCCAGGTTCTTAACTTTGATACTGTAAGATATATGAGTGCACTCATGTATAATAGTGATTTTTTTCAATGAATTTAGAACTACCTATGATAGTTTTCTTAGAATTAATCATTATATTGTTACATTTTCTTCAGTTCAAAATAAGAATCAGATCAGCATTAGTGTCAATTGCTTTAGACAAAAGTTTGTATGTTGTGAGCATACAAGTGGGAAAGTTGTAACTTACAGAATTGATGAAATTGCAAATAGGGAAGAAGTCAACATACAACCTTGTGGTACAATAGCTGGTATAGTAAGCCAAGTAGGAAAAAACATTTTATACCTAGGAAAAAAACATTTTACACAAATGAAGTCAGCAATCAAACAAGTAACTTGAAACCAGTTAACTACCGTTGAAGATATGTTGAAGGAGTGTAGGATAGCTACCAAGATATCAAAATCATCAGTATTATATACATTATTAAAATCAAGCAAGGTAAAGAATTGTCAGCTTTTGTTTCTTTATACCATTACGAATATAATTGGCGATTTATTGAAGTGTTGTAGTTATACTATGGCCAGGGCGGAAATCGAATTGCAAGGCATTAAATTGGTCAAGCATTTACTTGCCTTTTTACTTAAAACTAAAGACTGCCATAACGCAGTAATATTATTAGTATAGTTGTAGCATGAATGGGTTGGCTCGACCAGGGAAGGACCACACTTTCACAGAATACTAGCGTAAAATAGCAGCTTAACACTGCTGTATATAGTATGGTGAGTGTAGAGAACCAGAGACCCTTTTTACTGGAAAAGAGGCATTCCATCTTAGTCCTCACAGGTGACAACACATCTGCATTTAGATTCTATTGAGGATAGATATGTCTATGGGTCACAGCAACCACTTACTATCAGGGGGACTGTGTGCTCGCTTATCACCCTATCCTATAAAAAAAGACACTGGGATATATCAGTAAACATGTTCAGTCATTAAATGAGATTTTATAGGCGACAATTCCTCGCAAAAGAACATCGATTATTACCCAGGATGACTTGAGAGGCTATTGAAATCAAATAACATTCTTATTTTAATTCAGAAGGTGGCTCTATATATATACATACATACATACATATACATACATATATATATATGTATACTAGCTGGCTAGGCAGACGTTGTTCTGCCCTTTTTAACGACCCTCCATGTAAAAAATGCTTAAATTCGTAATAAAAAAATATTGAGTGTCACTTATCAGAATAAAAACTATCCTATCTTTCAAGTTGGAACAAACTGCACAATTAGCAAAATTTCATTGAAATCAGTTCCGTAGCTTAGGAGTTCATCGATGACAAACAATGTGACACGTAATTTTTATATATAAAGGTATATTATATATCTGACATCAGATACTACCAGGTAATCCACAATCTGCTTATGGGAGATACAAAAATTTATAAAATTGAATCCCAAACCAACTATTTAGATAGCAAGACTTTCATATAATTTAAGTCCTTGCTGCATAGACCAGACCAAAAATTTATAGTTTTAAGTAGGTAGCTGGGGTTAATTATGACAGTGCCACAAGTTTTCGAAATATAAAAGAAGTTGCAATGGGATGATGAACACCTCAGTCAGACTATGACCTGAGTAATGCAAAGTGCTTAAAATGTCGGATATATTTAAACTAGTTGCTTTTACTGTGTAGTGCTCGCGTAAATATAGGAAATCTTGAATGAAAATGATTTCGAGTAAAGATGGAACAGACTCCTGTTTACTATTCATTCTCTGGCCTATTTGGCTTTTTTTAGTATCCCGAATCTGACTGAATACTGGCAACTGTCAAAAAGTAATTTAAAAATCGTTGCAAGAACATTATGCCAGAATATTGAATTTATAAACTTAATATCTAAATTTTGTCCTTTGTTGCATACAAAGTGCCCGTAACAATAGCTCCACAAACGATATTTTCAACCATTACTAACTCTTGACTTGACATGGACTTAGCGCTCGCTTTAAATTTTACAGTACGCGAGGCAACCGGGGCTCGATACCCGCCTACACCAATGAAATTGTTAATTGCAATTTTAAGTGCTCGGCGGTGAAGGAAAACGTCGTGACGATACCTGCATGTCTCAGAAATTAAAAAAATATATTTTGAAGTAACATTTTTTATTCATTGAAAAAAGAGATCATGGATCTTACCGACGAAAGGACTACTTTGAAATTCCTCAAAAATAAGTTTGAGATTAAGGTTTTATTCTCAGTCATAGACTATAACTTTTGTGATCGTAATGGTAAAACCACGTTTCGTCCGTTGTTATAAATCAAGTTAGAAAACGATCAGGATATTGTTTAAAGTTTAAACAGGTTTAATATGCCTTGGGAAATATTTTATGCTTTTTTATTTCTGGGTGTCGGTAAGCATTCTAAGTATTCAAGGCGTGAATACTTTTTCATCCTCAAGCGTTCATGTGAAATGTTACGCACACTCCCTGTAGAAATTTTTGTTTCTTCAGCAAGTACCGTGACACGTCGATCTGCTAAATCCATTTTTGCTACTTTTGTGGATATTTTTCACGTTTAAATTCCGCGCATATACCTGCAACTATATTCTACAGTGAAACGGAATATTACTCCCTAATGTCCTGTAAATCTTGAATGACTTGTTCCGTAGTGATATTTTTCAAGTACATATACCTACTCAATGCCAGTGCGTAGGTAATTTTTCCCCCAGTTTTGTTAACACGCTATTACAAACCACAAACAAAAATGACTTCAATTTTTATTTGAATAAAAGACGCTGGTAGGTTTTCGCGACACAGTTCTTTGAACGATGTCATCCGAAGGGCTCTTGCCTCTATAAATGTTCCCTCGGTTTTAGAGCCTTGTGGAATATTTAGAGACGATGGCAAGAGACCCGACGGTATGACATTGGTCCCTTGGGAGAGAGGTAAAGCCCTAGTGTGGGATGCTACTTGTGTAGACACTCTGGCAGCCTCTCATCTCAGGAGTACCTAGTTTAAAGCCGGGGCAGCATCAGAGGCAGCTGAGCTGAGTAAGTGGCGCAAATATGAGTCTCTGAGAGATGACTACATATTTGTGCCATTTGCTGTAGAGACTATCGGTCCGTGGGGTCCACGTGCGGTGGAGTTCCTAAAGGAACTCCATCCGCGGCTGGTCGTTGCTGCTGGTGATAAGAGGGCTGGTTCTTTCCTCGCTCAAAGGCTAAGTATAGCCATTCAGCGGGGAAACGCAGCCAGCGTTCTTGGCACGATACCGCGGGGAGCAGGACTATATGATAATTAAGTTTCTAGTTTTAGTTTTTTTATTTTTATTATCATAGTTTTTAATATTGTAGATAAAATTAAGTATTATGTAAAATTGTAAATAAAGATTTAAAAATGCTTGTCTAGAATTAAAATAATTATATATTGATTATATGTTATTACTTACAATGAATACTCCTAGGAGCTAAGCTAGCCAAACAATTCAAACCAACATCCTGTCCCATAGAAGTCTTTAGAATTTTTGCTATCCGGGGCTCCGTATCATTGATACGGCTGATACGGCAGTAGCTACGCCCCTGTCTATCAAGGAAGTCTATGTTCAATAATGAAAAGTTAAACCTAAATAATCAACTCCAAATTAAAAATGTTCTAACGTATAATATATACGTTAGAACATTTTAAAGCAATATTGCTCGCGCTAGCTTTGCTTTGTACTGGTGTACGCACACGGTCGTACTTATCCTACCAAAGCTTACTTAGTATTCAAGAATGCTTTGGTGAGATTAAGTACCAGTCTAAAATAGACAACATCTCCGTGTTCTATACGATATATTTCGGAGAGTATGCGAAATATCTCTCTCTTCCACCATCGGTCCATCAGCAATCGGCCACTCCTTTGTTTTGTTATCTACATATACATACTACGCATTCGAACCCAACCGTTTTATTTGTCGTCCGTAATGCGTACTGGAATGGAGTAAATTAATGTTTCATCATTTGTTTTGCTGTGGGTGTCTTCAAGGCGAGAGTGAAAAAGCTACATACTTAATATTACGTTTTAAATCCATGGAAAAGACTTATGTTCTTTGGCAACGTCGTCAACTAGTGTAAACTAATTTCGAGTATATAATACCATGTTTTTATTGATTTTCAGGATAGTTTGATTACGCTTTGATTCCGTTATGAGAATTTCTTTCAATAATGAACTATTGCAGGCCTACTTATCCCATCGCGAAAATTTAACATGTCCGTAGGACTCTTGACGTCGTGTCAAGGCGGTGATTTACTGACATATAAACACCCAGAATAATTATTACGCCATAAAAATACTTGTCTCACGCGAGAGTCTAACTTACCTAGAACATGAGCTAAGAATTAACAATTTTAGTTTGAATTGAGTTAAGAATACTGTTGTATTTATTCGGTGATGTCTCATTGATCGTGAGTTTAAAGCTGATAGTGATTACCGAATGGTGAGAAGCACACTGAGCCTTAATGTTAAGTAAGTTGGAGAAGTCACGTCAAACAGGGAATGTTTATGATTCTCCACATCAGGAAACCGCGTGTGAGAAAAAACCAGTTGTGTCAGACCGTATGCTAAGGCAAAGTTGTAAACAGATCACATCACTTGTTCGGTTGAACGAGAACCCAGTCATTCAGCATGGTGGGGGTTTTAGAATCGCTAAGGACCACGATCTCTGCGATTAGATCTGTTTTAATACGTAATCTGTAGCCATTTGCTGCTAGTTGTAGGTCGGTCTGTGTTGGCATTACCGCTGTGGAATCTATTAAGACACCTATAGACGCAGGAATGGTTGTCGCTATGTACGCGTTGCCAAATGCTGAACAAATCTGTACTTTCGAGACTGCCAAGGCACCGAGAACAGATATTCTCTCTGACGTAAACTCTACTGACTCTCTACGCAAACTCCGGCTCGGGGTATGTACCTAACATACAAAGAGTATGTAGGAACTTCTTATATTTTACACGAACACTACACATTTAAATATAACTAGTTTTAAGGATTTTGTCGCGTATATTAGCTTATTTTATATTCCCGACGTTTCAAACACTACAGCACCCACGGTCACGGGGATATTGAGGTGTTTGACATCTCAATGTCCAGATTAAAATTATTAATTTTTGGTCCGATCTACTCAGAATGAGCTTACAGTATCTTGAAGTCTTGCAGTGCTATGCTTGGGGTTTGGATTTAATTTTATTAATTATAGGATCACAAGGAGATAGTAGCACCTAACCATCTTATCTATTGAAATTAGGACGTTTTTGATTTCAATAGTCTCGCGAATCACCCTTGGAAGGAATCGGTGTTCTTTAGCAAGGCTTTGAGGTCTATCAAATCTAATGTAGTGACGGAGGCGATCCTGTACGTGTTCACATACTGCAGACTTCCGGGAGCGTCGATTCTTCACATCAGCTATGTGTTCTTTAGAGCGGGTTCTTATTGATCTTTTAATTTGTCCTACATAACACATTCACACAAGTTGATTGTCAGTATACCAAAGCGCTAAAGCCTTTGTACAGTAAGTGTAATCCGAGCACAGAATCAGATTACGAAACCTATCCAACTGCAGAGAGGTGCAAGACGGGGTGTCGTTATATCCCTAAAAATCTTCTCCACTGCATTATAAGGCATTTTCAAGCTACTATAGCAGAATCGCTGTGAGATCTCAGCACTGTGCTCCTGATCTGAATTATGTTTCCCACCGGATACGTTTTAAAATGATGGACTAGACAAAGGTTATATGATACGTCGCAGTAGTTTTATACGTGGTAGAGCCATGCTGCAGCTATATTAGTTGTATAGTTGTAGCACGAATGTGTCGGCTCAACCGGGGAAGGACCACGCTCTCACAGAATACCAGCGTCAAATAGCAGCTTCATGCTGCTGTGTTTCGTATGGTGAGTGTAGAGAACCGGAGACCCTTTTTACTGGAAAAGAGGCATTCTATCTTAGTCCTCACGGGTGACAACGCATCTGCATTTTGGTTTGCAAACGAAGATAGATGTAGATGTCTATGAGCCACAGCAACCACTTACCATCAGGTGGACTGTGTGCTCGTTTGTCACCCTATCCTATAAAAAAAATATATAACCTTGCTGTTACATCGCGTGTCGCATGTTACAGTTATACCGGTTGTTGACGAATATGTTTACCTAGGAAAAATTGTCCGACTAGGCAAGTCCAACTTCGACCGAAAGGTGAATTGACGGATTCAACTCAACTAGGCAGCGTTAGGGAGATTACAACATATCTGTTACTTTTTAAATCAAATTTGAAAACAAGATTATTTGTACTAAAAATAATATATCACGTTATTTTATTCACATTGTTATCCGATTCTGAGTTATGTTCAAAATTTCATGTCTCTATCTCATCGGAAAGTGCTCGAAATTTGAGTTGCAAAATTTCACCCGGAACGAACAAGGAATTGACTTATAGTTAAAAATAACATTTTCCTATCAAAACTTATTTTTAGACACATTACCCTCAATAGTAAGTTAACATATAAGAACGCTCATAAAAAACCAAGAATGGATAGCATTATCAAAAAAGTCATGACTTCTATTAAATAATTTGAAAATAAATTTGAACCGCGGTAGCTAGGAGGTTAAGCAATAGATGAAGTATAATATCTTTATCTTTATATATAAATAAAATAACCACGACGATAAGTGACCCTCAATATTTTAATGCGTGTTTATACATTTTTAAATTATATTCAGACTATAGGAGACTTGCCGGTAAAATACTTTTTAAGATAATCAAAAATGAATAAGGGAAGGTGCGAAAGCATTGCAAAAACCTTTGCTACGCCACTGGTTCAATTGACAATACATCTATTTATCAGAAAAGAGGCAATAGTTTCATTCATTAAAAGGAAACATTCATTTAGCAGCCCTGATGCCTAATATAACTTGCGTTTTCCACAAAATTGGGCCCTATATATATATATATATATATATAAAGGTTTTAGTGTATACACAGATAACAGAGTGTCCAATGTAATTTACTGAGATTACATTCCGCGTCCGCGCTGCAGAAAATACAAGCTAGAAGCTATAATATTATGTAAGTGTTGACCCCATTAAGAAAGAACGTAATAAGGAAAGGGACTGGAATAGAGAAATTTTTAGGGAGCCAAGATAGAGCACGCGGGAAAGAGGCCCAAACAGTCCGTGAGTCCGTGGTCTCATGATTCTGTCCGTATATCCGGATGGTTGAAAAGACCACGGTAGATGATGGGCTTGTAAAACATACCCTTATACTCAACGAAAATGTTACAGAATTATTCTTAACGGACTTTCAATATTTATGGGTCGAAAATTTGGTTGATTTTCCACCCCTCTCCCTTTTTAGAACTTATTGAATTTTAAAACTTAACTACGCTAAGCTCTAATAAGATTTACTTTTTTAATCAAATACATTATTATTTATGAAATTTATGGATCCTACTTTATATTCCGTTCATAGAGACGAAAGTTTTTCAGAGTATTTGCACATTTTCATGTTTCTTATGTAATAGGATAGGCACTATTTATACCATAATAAAGGTAGTTTTAATTTTTTATAGCAGTAAGGGGTGTTTAACGAGCACAGTGGTATGTTGATGCTGTGATCCATAGACACCTGCATATCCTCAATTAAGAATTAAAATGCAGAAGAGGTATAAAATGGAATGTCTCTTTACCAATAAAACAGATCTGGTTAAAGTGAAATTACAGCCCACTGTGCACATAGCCACAAGGGCACAAGCCTCCCCTTTATGGAGGTATCAGTTCGCCGTAGTGTTACAATGCGTGTTAGCTAACTTCACATCGTAGACATGCATCACAAACAGTTTTCCTTCACCGCTGACCATGTCAATCACCACTTAAAATTGCAATTAACTATTCTATTGGAGCCGGCGAGGATCAAAATGTCTGGCTAATGGTGAATAATGTACATATTTATTTCTTAACTTTCAGGCTACACGCGTGGGGTGATAGTCTTAAGGAAGCGTTTGAGCAATGCGGTATGGCGATGTTTGGCTATATGACAGATTTGGCCTACGTTCAGATTAAAGAAGTTCACACGATTGAGGCAAATGCTGATGACATGATGGGTCTGCTCTATCACTTCCTCGACGAACTGCTGTATCTTTTCTCAGTGGAACCGTTCTTAATATGTAAGAAGCTAGTTATAACAGAGTTCAATACGGAGGAGTTCCGGATAGTATGCAAGTGTTACGGAGAGGAGTTTCAAATTGGGAAACATCCGCAAGGTTCAGAAGTGAAAGCCATCACATACTCAGCTATGCAAATTGTTGACGAACCTAAAGATAATAGATTTGAAGTTTTTGTTATTATTGATATTTAAGATATGTTAAATATACTTTTCTAACAATTTGATTGGTTTTTATGTATAGTATAATTATAACAACCTTTTTCCATCAAATTATAAAGCTAAGGTCTATGGAAGGATATTAGAGAGTTATGGAACGCGTAGCGGCGTAGACGTAGCATTGCGATTTCATTCGTATAAAAATCCGTGACATAAGATACGCTGTATACACGCGCACATATCTTAGGGCCAGAAAGGAAAAGGGGGTAATGCGAAGAGGTAATGGAGAGGTGGTAAATGGTAATGCGATACGACGTTGAAGCGGCAACGCAATAGCAAATGCGCATGTCCACCACGTGTTATGTCACGATTGTACCACAAGACTCCGCAACAGCACCGCTTATGAATAGCGCCGCCTCCTCAACGCTTTTGCTTAGCTCTTACGGCCTTGTTACCAAAGTAGTTTTGGAAAGCCCCTTGGAGTCGCTAACGTGTTTGAATTTTGATTTTTAATTGAGAATAGATGTCTATGAGTTACAGCAATCTGCATCATCATGTGCTCTTTGTTAATCTTATAAAATATCTAATAGTAAGTGTCTTAATAGGTGAGAATGCAAAAAACAATTCCTTATCATTCCTGATCATATTTTTTTTTCGGAATAACTTTTGACGGTTTACGCAGTGTCTTAACGCGAGTTCAGAACCTGCTCGCAACAAAGTACTTGTATGCCCTGCAAATAATTGTAATTGGTTTGACTTTATCCATAAGCAACTTACGGCTACCTTGATATTCCCAAACGATTTTTTAATTTTATATATATATAATTCTTCTGTCCGTGTGTATGTGACAACTCCTTCTAAACGCCTGGAAGGATTTGGATGAAATTTTATGTGTGTAATTAAGTTAATTCGAGAATGGTTTAGATTCACAATTGAATTCTGTAGGTAGGTGACACTGTTGTCAGAGACCCAGAAATCACCCGAGCGAAGCCGGGGCGGATCGCCAGTAATACATAATTTCATTTAACCCATCTGTACAGTAGTTGAAGACCATGGAAATCTGTAAATTGTTCTATAGGTAGTACAATTGTATGCGATAATTTAAATTTAATTGCATTAAAATGTTGATCTAGCTCACTACAAAAGATAGCTAAAGATAGATAAAAGGGATTCAACTCACACTCAGGTCAATTTATTCTTTCATTCATCACAGCGTATAAAAGTCCTTTTACTTTTTACTTAGACATAGTTGTCACGCTTCGCAGGTGGATTAGTTATCGCAGTTTTTTTATAATTTCGAGTTATTATCAGGAAGACACTGCTGGCCATCAACCGTTTCATTTCCCCCTGTCGCCTCTTCAGTCACCCACTGAAGCAGCCATTTCTCAGTCATCATTTTTGTTCATTAGTCCATTGTACATGAGCTGCTTCTAATGTGTAAAATTTGAAAATTACAGTATACAAGGTCAGGTTTAAATGATTTATAGCAATCTATCGGAGACAGACGGATCTTATTGGGCATTTCCTTTATCTGACAGTGAAACTGTAGGAGTCATGAAAAATAAGTGTCATGAAAAGTAGGGACGTGAGGATTGTCGAGAAAAAAGTAAGTGATCGACATTAGTGATAAAGAATTTCTAATATAAATTGATAAGCCATTCCAGAGTCAGATGGACTTAGGATCTTGAAGACTTGAACGTAAAAACATAGCGGTGTAAACTCTAAAAGAACTAAGAGCAAAATTGACATTAAAACGAGATGTTAATCTTAGGAATCAGGAGTGAAAGCAAATTTAAGATGTACCAGAATGCGTAGATCGAATAAAGTGATATTAAACGTGTTAAAATTAATTACGTGGATCCCAGCTAATAAATTTTTAAAATTATTATATAATAGATTTCCGCAAAGTAACGCCAGATTCTATTAATTATCGTATAATTTGGATGTACTTTGTTAGATAGGCAACCGTCTCAAATATTAGGGTCTCAATATATAGGTGGATATATATATAATATATCCACCTATGTACTGACTCATCACGATATCTCTAGAACCATAAGGCCTAGAATCTTGAAATTTAGTGTTCAGCTAAGAAAGGATTTTACAAAATTCCACCCGCAAAAGGGGTTGCATGTAGGGTTACCAGATGAAAAAATTAAAAGTCCGGAGAAGAGGCCTGATTTCCATTTAAAAATCCTGAGATTTTTTTACAGTTTGAGAAGAAAATCTTACTTAAAAAGGTATCTTCACATATTAAGTATGATAAAACTGTTTAAGTACCTACTTGGATAAATAAGTTTTGATTTTACTTAATTGTGGAATTATTACCAAAGGAAAACTATTTTTAGTTTGTTTAACTTTTTATTAAAGAGATCTTTAAAATGTAAGCTGTGTTATATTTAAAGTTCTAAAAATCCTGAGAATTCATGAGATTTGCAAAATCCTGCCGCAATCCTGAGAAGAGTCTAAATATCCTGAAATCTCAGGACAAATCCTGACATACTGTAACCCTAGTTGCATGGGCGTTAATTAAAAAAAAATCACATTTTCAAACTATAGCTCTTATAGGTATAAAACTTGGCCAGGATATTATTTTTGGCATGTTAAAAATGACCAAGAACGGATTTTATGTAATTCCACCCACAAAAGGCAGTGCAGGGGCGTTAAAAAACATCTGTATGTAGAAATCAATTGCTGTCTGTTAGTCTCGATACGACGCAAAAACGGCTCAACTGATTTTGATGAAAATATTTGTGTGTGTTCGAATGGGTCCCTAGATGGCTTAGATTCACAGTTGGACACGGTAGGTGGCGCTGTTGTCGAGATCCAGAAATCGTCCGTACGAAGCCGGGGCGGACCGCTAATATATAATATATTAATCTATGGAAAACCAATTTTAGTTAAGTTTCGAAGTCAAAATAATAATCATATTTTCTAAATTCAAAAATAAATATAATTTATAATCAGCATCTTTGTGCATAACTATAGAAAAAATATTTATAGAAATGTCTATGTGTATGTTGCCTTCCGACACACATACATAACATGAAGGACTCGTGATAAACAATCCATTAAAAGAACCTGTCCTCCAAACACATCCTCTATTTATTCATGCCATATTCTAGTCGTGAGAGCAAAAGAAAATTATAGAGAACACGAATCGATTGAAATCCTATCTTCACCATCATCAGCACCAATCGGCCTTCCTCTGAGAACAACTCAGGAAGACTTGCGCGCCATAACATTAGATGCGCTTTTCTAGACGGCCTCCGATTCCATTTGTGGAACGGGTCCGTTACGCGAAAGGCGTGAGGTCAGAAAAACGAGAACTCAGAGGCACCTTCTGCATGCTGCACATAGCCATACAACTCATATTAGTGGTTGTAACAGATATTAGACTCTTTTTATCTCTTTTCCACCTTGACCTTGGACTCTTTAAAGCTATTTTTCAATGTGTTTTGATAACTTCACTTGATCATCGCCGTTACATCATTCTTCTCTCTCATTTTTTTATTTCACTCCATTCATTAATATTTTCCATCTAAATTCATCGCAGTCTTCATAATATGTAGAAGCGATTAATGTTTTTTTTTGAATCGCCACATCTAATTCATGCTTCATTCCCAACCATAGATATATACTAAAAACATACTGAAAACATTCTTAGTCCTCAGGGGTGACAACTAACAATGCATCTGCATATTTTCTCTTTGCATCTGCATTTGATCGTGAATAGATTATGGAGTGTAGAGTAGAAGGAGGACCATCTCTGTATATGAAAAGTGTCCCTAAAAACGTGTCCAATAAGGGTGGCGCTGCAGTAGCATAGGATAAATTAAAAAAGAAGCGCCAAAAGTATTTAGAGTAAGATGTAGAAATAAATAAGGACCGATCAATCCGCTTGGTTTTGTACTACGTAAATAGTTGAGATTTTGTATATTGGCGTTTTACTAACTACTCTAGTCATGAAATATTTGAATTCAGCTGACTTCACTCCGTTCATAACAGCTATCTTCATATCGTAGTTTTTCAGACGCCAGCGCTATTGTGGTAGGTTTTGGAACCTCTATTTACAGTAAATAGTAGGACACTTTTTCAACCTTCGCTCCTTTTAAGATGGTTCTCCTTCTACTCTACACTCCATAGAATAGATGTAGATGTCTATGGGCCATAGCATTCTCTAAACATCAGATCGCTTATAGTGAAAAAAATATTTACAATGAAAAAAAAAATACACAAGTTTACAAGAAAGTTTTTTTTTTTAAAAACGCATGCAAATCGTATCGCATCGGTCTTGTTATTGGTTAGCATTTAATTTAATATAGTGTACTGCGGTTTTTTCTCCCGTACTATATTTACTAACTAATCACCTGTATTATTTGAGATTAGTACCGCACTCCCACAAGAGTATGCACTACTACTGTGACAACGATCGCCACTCGAAGTTACCACTATTAGCTCAAGCTCGATACTGGAAATACATATCAATAGGTAACCGAAAACGTCGCCAAGTTGTTTCGCCTTGATTGATGTCTTCTTAAAAGTATGTGTATGTGTAATGCCTATTAAAAAGTAAGAAATATAAATCATTCCAAAGAATGTTTAAAATATCGACCTATGGGTATCTACGACTTTTTCTGCCACCAGGACGGCGCCACTTAAGAATGAGGTGAAATATTTGACAGATTTCAAAGCGGAGGAAGTAAATTATTTGAAAAGTGTAGAAAATAGGTGTTTTTTTGTTTAAATATAAGTTATATTTTATATGAACCAATACATATCGAATTGTATAAACCAAACTACAGATATTCTTAAGAGTTAAAGAATTTAAAGTAAAAACCGACTTCAAGTTGCTTAAAAAAAGTTTTTTATTTGTTACCCTTAGGGGTGAAATTTTTTCTCTAAATTTTCGGTCCACCGTTGAAGTGTAACCTATTTAATTAAAAAATATCATCAAAATTGGTTTACAATGTGCGAAGATATCGCGTAACATACATACAAAAAAGCACTCGAATTGAGAATGTATTCCTTTTTGA